CCAGCATTTCTGTACGAGCACGAAATGCCAGGGGCATGGTCTGAAGATGAGGCTGGCGATGAACAGGGTAGGAATGGCGCTGTGCGGATGATGTGTATGATGAAACTAGTGATGATGTGATGGTGGTGATGACGACGAGGATGATGATGATGCTGATGATGATGATGACGATGAGGATCGGGATGAGGATGATGATGATGATGATGGTGGCGATGATGATGGTGATGCTGAGGAGGAGGACGAGGAGGATGAAGATGATGGGGATGAGGATGATGAGGAGATGACGACGATGATGATGATGGTGATGCCAGCCATCGGATGCCATTCAACACCCACGGCGAACGCAAGAATGCTTCATTCCTTCGTCAACGCAAACATGATTGGAATAATCACCACGACAAGATTTCCGTCAGGTTAGGACAAACACCTTCAGTTTCATTGTCGTCATCATCAGCATCATGACCACGGTTCGCATCAAGATCATCAACATCATAATTGTCATCTTCGATATCAGCCCAAGCAGAACGATACTGACCATTCTTATCATGACCACCATCATCCCACCCCTCACTGCATCACCTGGTGACGGTATCGATGTGGAACAGGCTCAGAGGCCCTAAGCCCTGAACCCCTGCTACTGATTACCGATGATCGCCGAGCACCTCCACGGGGCGACCATCTGAGAACTCCTCCCACATCCTGTCCTGCGCACGGTAGCTGGGAAAAGCTTGCAATTCGCTTCGGGCAGCATTGAGGCTGTTTGGGGAACATTCGGAATCTCATAAGACAGTGCCAGTGCTTGATCGGTACTATAAATGTAGCCCTCGAATGCATAAAAGCGCATCATATCACCCCAACATCATTGCCGCCTGCGAGAAGCGGACGGAGAGCGGGTTTATGAGCCGCTCCTCGTACAATGGCATGGAAGCTCCTCGGTCCCAAGAAAAGGCGAGGAGCCTGCCTAGCTGGAAGGTGTCAGGCTCGAAGTCATGATACCGCCGGCGGGCCATTGCGTCAGGTCACAAAAGCACGAGCAGTCACTCCTAGAGACCATGCCGCATAAGCGGGAGGATGACCCAATTGCGCATCTTTGAGTGCTACAAAAAAGACTGCCTGGGAATGAAGGTCCTCGAGACAACCGCCAAAGCCGGCTTCCCTTCGATCAAACTGGTTTGAGTTCAGCACCCAGGGTCGGAGTCCACCAAGCCAAGAACTGCCGGAGTGGCGGCAGCGCCCTTCATGTGTGAGACAGTTTAATGTGCGCACGTCGCAAACTGATGCATGCGGAGCACATACTGCATTTCAGATAAGTTCTGCGAATCTGCTGGGAGCACTGTCTTCCAGGTATCCTTGTCCAAAGTCGATGAGTCTCAGCTTCCGAGGCTCCGGCTACAGAAAAGAGCTCAGGAAAATGCAGCCCATGTTCTGCAGCGAGATCGTAAGCATCGCGTGCTCTGTTGCTCATCGCGGTTATGGTATGGTTTGGCTTCCTAGTCACGAGTGCATCGGCCTTTATCAACTGCTGTTCAACAGGTGATCATCGCTTCAACGCAGCATGCCCTGCATCCAACCGTGTGCACTGACGGCTACAATAGTGCCTCAAGCTTGCGCCCTTCACGGCTGAAACAGGGCTCACGACATTGGCTGCTCATGCAGTGTGGTGTGCTGCAGTCGGGCCTCTGGTCTGGCATGTAGACATCTGAACCACAAGAGCCCGTGAACTGTGAGAGGTAGTGCACTGGAGGAAGAAACATTACGAAAGTAATCTTGGGAAAGAGCAAGCCTCGAGACAAAATCACGAACAGGGGCCTAGAACCTATCTGAAACCACCACCATGCAAAAGTTCATGGCTGCTTGAGAATACTGCCCTCTGAACTCGAAACCAGCCACTTGTAAGTTCCAGTCAAGGTTCCTCAAGCACCCCAGCCCAGAGCATCTCAAGTAACGAGGACAGTTAGTATGATCGTCCGCAACATTGGAGCGACAACACCCATCAAACACCGGTCCGCACCGTGGGACGCAAAAGTTCTCCAGCTTCAGAAGTAAGCTTGTAACGACAAGGAGGTCGAGGATGGCACAGATTTTCCGCATACCGAAACGTCGCGCATCTCGAGTCTGCTGGTTCCTGCGCATGCGGGCTCTCGGATCTCTCGGATGTGACAGGATCTTGACTTACATCTTGGTCCACATCTGAAGACCTGGATGCTCAATGTTCTTTCTCAAAGACTTAAATCCTAAACGTCCTTTCCCAGAATGCTTTCTCACGAACGGCTGAAAATCAAGTGACCCGGACATCTGGCAGCTAGCTGCAGAGCTCGAGTGGGAAACCCTGCAGCGAAGCAATCGCAAACCCGCAACCCTGACCCACCCAGAAGATCCTTCCTCCGCAGAACGTGCTAGCCGGCGAAATCCAATTCCTCCGTCGACCTTCAACCCTAGGTTCCTGGCAATGAACCTCCGGGGTCCGCGCTTGCACGTGAACCCGAGGAAATTTGATCTCTGATTCTGAACCGGAGCCTGTTTCCAAGAGTTGAAACGCAGGCCTTGCTATGCAATGCTTCGAGGCCATAGAACTGAGTGGTCCAGAGGGTGCTCTCCGCCTCAGACTACGCCAAAGATGTGTAGAGGAGGCTGCCTTTACGTACAAGAACGGTCGGTGGGTCTGTGTACTACATATTGAAATCTGTATTATCTGCATCTGTATCTATGCCTGTATCTATGACTATACCCATATATATATACACACACATACACACATAGCTGTATATATACATATATATATATATACATATGCATTTACATAATATATATATATATACATACATACACACGTACACATATGTCGATGCATACACACACACACACGTGTGCGTGTATATGCTACACCCCCCTCCCCCCGATGTACCTACCTGTTTGGTATGTTTATACCAGCGGCGTGTGTCTGCAGAACCTCAAGTGCACGGACAGCCGTACAGCCGTACTGCTCGCAAAATAGCCATGTCTCATCCATTCCCTACAGCTTCAAACAATGCTTGCGATACAGCTCTTATTGCTTCTGCTAGAACCCATGTAATAGCAGGTTACTATTTGCTGTTGAACGTCTTATGCAAGTCTGCCGTACTGCTCAAGCCACACGATAGGCAGTATTCAAGTAATCTTCACGAAACACAACTCGAATAGCTACTCGGTGCAGCAGTACCGGAGGGACAGAAACTTAAAACCAACCACGCCATAGCAGTTAAGTGCCAGTTCTTCCGTCGGTAGTTACTACGGCTGCGGCCCGGCTACGGCAAATGGCAACAAAAAACACGTAAATGCGCACCAAGTATTCACTAGCGACCAAGCAATGACATGCCAAAGCATAACTGGAGACTTACGAAAGTTTATAATGGGTACATATTCGTGAAATATATTGAAGATGACATAGCTGTTGGGTTTCATTTCAAGGAAATTCTGCTCATCTCTCAATAACTATAACTAAACTTTGGTGAAAAGCAGCTATGCTGCTTTAGCATTTACTTGTGATCACAATCTACTGAACAATCCGTGAATACCATGTAGACCTGAAGCATATAGTAGTGAATATTGCTTACGTTGCATGTGAACAATTCATGTGGTAGAGAATGAAAGCTTACGGATTTGCATTTTGTTAAAATGATACTTGCACTTCCAGGTAAAAGGTAGGAAACTGTGCACAGAACTTCAACCAGGTATCAAAACAGTACTTAGATCAGCTTCGACTATTGGACGAACCTATAATGGTGAATCATCGCCTGAATTCGACGTGAATACTATATGCCAAACAACAAATCATCCCATTTTAGAGTTTCAACGAGCGACATTCCTGCCAAGATGCAGGAATCACTACTCACATACCAAACGATTATCCCACCAAAAGGGAGTGCAATGTTCACCAAGTATGACTAAAGTAGCAGCTAAAGGGCATCCAAACAGTGTTTATGTGCAAACGATAGGCGACATTTAAATTGGGACAAAAGCCGGGTTAAGCACAAGATGCTACATATGACTGCCTATTGACTAAATGTGCATCACAGAGAAGCCATTTCAGGAACACAGTTGAACTGTGACAATGTTTTCGTACTAGAAAGAACTCAGTTATGTATAAGCAATGTTGCTTAAGATTTATGTGATACATGTGAACAGCAAATGCTGCTAAACCAATAACAACGGAGGAGCCGAACATCAACTTGGTATCAAGCTGACATGTATACTGTATACTGTATTTGCTGCTATGATATGGGAGAGCAAAAGTCCGGAGAGGTCCCAGTGTTTTCGTGGCATGGGTTCTGAAAGACCTCCGGACGCGGGAGTACAAGCGAATCGTCCCAAACTCTGTTCAATTTTGTGTCGCACGGTTGAAGACTACTACGCCGAACCTGTCCGTCGCGACTTCACGCGTGGACCCTTCAGGGAACAAGACTGGCCTCCACATCATGCTGCTGGCGCGAAGCGAAATCCTTGATGCAGTGCTTGCATGATCTTATTGTGGTTTTCTGTCCATTCTGGAACCGGCCTGTCTCGCTAGATTTCTGTACAGCCTCTAAAAATATGTCACACCGACAAAAAAAGTCGATTAACCGTGGATGAATATAGGTCTTCGAGCCCTTTCACGAACTTGGCGCTTCTTCGCAGCCCAAGTCCGGGCGAAGGCTGCCAAACCTCAAGCGCAAAAAAGGAGAAGAAGGAAAAGGAACTCCACCAAGCGTGAAGCTCCACGAGCTGGTGATCGGCCACTGAACGGGCAGCTTAGTGAATGTGCTGGGTGTTGCTTAACTAGTAAAACTTGCTTATACTTCCTTACTACCACTTTGGTAAGTAGCCTAACTGCTTAGCAACACCCAGTATATTCAAGCATGCCAGCTCTTCTCAAGCGGGATAAGACTTCACGGCGGAGCATTCATCGAAATCATGGGAGGTGGGGCCCATTCTGGGCCCCCCCGTCCCAAAGAGTCCAAGAGAACCCAGTTGGTGTCTCAGCTTCAGCGGCCCCATCGGCCGGAGACATGAAGGGCATGATGCCAACGGGCTTTGCCAGCAGACCGGCTCTCCCGTGTGGTGCGCGTCAGCGACTTCCACGCGAGAAAGGCAGCGCGAGCCTGCTTTCAGACATGCCCAGGACGCATTCACAGGCTTCTCTACCTTCCAAGTATTTCTAGACATGCCCTGCTCAAAGCAGTCATAGAGTCATGGTGGTCTGGGGACTTGACTTCAGATTCGTGATGTCTTTCCGCAGTTGAAACGACAACATTCATTGCTCTGTGGGAGTACGTAGCATCTACGAATATTTCTGCGATGCGATGCTTGACGACTCAAGGCCCCAGGCCGGGCTACCTCGGCAGAGCAGCCGTTCGCGCCTGCATCTCGCTGTTTGAGGTGGGCATGAGGCTGATGATACCTGCCTGCCAGGAGAGCTTCACTGAGTAGGCCTCCCCTCAAGCCCGGTATCCTCGTCATGCTAAGTGCAGGCACCTGTTCCCCAAACATTGAGGATGGTTCGGTATTCGCCATGCTGCTGGGCCACAGATTAGAACATTCACGTCATTTGGAGTTGAGGAGGGAAGGGCAAACAAGGCCTTGGCACCTGTCCACGCCTACCTTGCTCCGGGATCAAAACCCTGCAGGATCTACTTCACAGGATGTGAAATCCCGACGACTTCCTGTCCGCCCTGCGTCGGATTGAGATTCACGGCGTTGTGCAAGTCTTCAGTTCAGCTTCAAGCTTGGAAGCTCCAAGCATGGCCTGCTCCTAATTTGTCATTCTGGATTCTGGAGTCAGGAAAAGACAACATCTCTGTTCGTGCGGCTGTCCGAGAACTACTTGACTCACACTACAAATGGTCTATTGCTTAGCTATGCAGACTTACTCGTAGTGCTGGAAGTGGTGCAAGTGCAGGACTGCTGGCGTCAAAGGTCAGAAGCAACAGAAGAAATCGTGATGGTTTAACCGCTTTGCTTCGTACTGTCTAGGTATGAGGGAAGCCCACGCCTGCCAAATTCGAATCGGCTGCAGAAGCTTGGTAACGATCTCGTCGTCGCCGAAAAGATCGGTGACTGGACCTTGCACGATCGGAGATGGCACGGCCCCAACCATGTCCAATCTGCACAGTATTGTCACAGTGTTCACCGGGACCCTGGCAATGTTTATCGTGATCCTCCAGAGCACGGGAAAAGTTTCGAGCATACCTCGGCTGGCCACGGGGCTGCAACTCTTGAGGCTCGGGTGTACCACAGTGCACCACTGCAGGAAGATGCCTCGACCGAGATCCCACAGTTCTACTATGTTCTATTGCAGTCTGACGATTCGGATGCAAGTGCAAAAGCACATCCTGACCCTCAAGAACAGCACTTGCCGAGAGGCATTGCGCACAGACTCTTCTGATCGCTGCGGTCCATGATCTTGTGGAAGGCATTTAGACTGACCTGCCATGTTTGACTTGCCATGTCTGGTGCAAGGCCTTGGGTTACGGTGGGCGGATCTACCTTCCATATCCTGGACACTCCGGCCGTTAGCAAGACGTTCTCTGACATGCTCAAGTCTGATCAATGCTGATTCCAAGGTTGACTGTGCTGACCACAGCAGAGATCTAGCAGAAAAGGCGACCTGAAAGAGATGGCAAGATTGGTCAGCACAGGCCATGCGACCGCGATGCTCCCACCTGATCGGATAAGCATGGTCGAGGCGGGGGCCTAAGGAAACTCACTGCAAAAGACGTCGGCCATGCGCGTCAAGGGACCCTTAGTCTCAGCGCCTTCCCTGCATGCTGCCCGCCGAGGTGCACCCTCCTAGACTTTTGAAGTACTTCAGCTCCCAGACACTTGCAATTCCATCGCAACGGCCGCGACGGCGGCTGCAATGTAAGTGGCAGAAAAAGAAAAAGCGATGCAATTGGTAATCGTGTCGTTATCCTCTTCGTCCTGGTCATCGTCGTCATCGCCGTCGTGAACACGTCGTCGACGTCGTCGTCGTACCACCGGCACGGGCCGAAAGGACGGCTCCGAAAGCTATGCCGCAGGAATCTGACAACGAACACCCCACCACAGAGTGACGGTGGACGAGCGATCCCAAAAAGGCAGGAAGCTTGCGTTTGCATCGCATCAGCTTTGGCGTGGGACACCAGCAGTGCCCCTCGTTTGGCCTGGACCTTTTCATTCTGAAGACAACAACTTCATTTACCCAGCTTCCCCTGCCCCAAGCCCCGCCAAGCACCGAAGGACTTCGACAGGACCGCCCTGACACCCAGCCTCACCCATAAGGCCGCTTCGCCTTAGATTCCACTCCAGATGTAGGAAGCTTGAGGTGCGGATGGGACGTGTGGGGCTCTGTTGCACTCTTTTGCCGCACGGTTTCGATGTTCACTTGCAGCCATTCGAGCTGAAGGCACTTGCACGCTGGTCCGGAAGGACGTCCTCGAGGATGTGAGGTGACGCCTCGACAGGCGGGCAGAAGCAAAGCTCCTGTGATGAAATTAAGGGACTGGACAAGCTAACTTGGGCCCTGCACGCATCTGACGAAGGTTGCGTACATGATCGTACATGAACTGAAAACAGGGCTCGTAAGACAGTAGACTGAAGCACCGATTCGTGATGGTGAGGATCCTATGCTAAGCTTGGAAGCGAGAGCCCTGCAACCTCTGCATGTCGGCCTCCCAGGTGTATGCGAGGTGACCAGACTGGAGCAAATACCTCAGGCAACAGTAAGGATGAATCTGCCTCCGAGAGGCTCAGACATGCAGCCGATTGTTCAGCCTAGCAAGCAGCTTGGGAAGTTGAGCCGAGGAGCATGCCCGTGCTCACAGAGCCAGCTTGGAAAACCTCCTCTCCGTAGACGATGCTCTGCTCAGTGAGTGCGGAGTGGCATGTCCGTGACACATCGGATATGCTGAGGTAGGTCAGGTACTTGAACATTCCGTGCTTCTCCAAGACGGGAATCCCCACTTCCTCCTGCAACCGTCGCATGAGCCTGTGGGGAAGGCTCTCAAAAGCCTTGATGTCTGAGAAGACAATCTTGCCCATGGCCTTGCCTAGCCCTCGCTGGCGGATGCATGCCAGAATCTCACTTGAGAGGTCTGCGGAGACGTGCTTGTCTGCGACATAGCGCCTCACCAGCTTCCTTTGGCGTGTGTCTTGTGCCGTGAGGCTGCGCAGCTTCGCAAAAGACTGGTTGATAGTTCCCAAGAAAAAACTGAAAGCAATAAGGCCTCCCAGGCAGATAACCACCGAAAATATCCGCTCTGGCGTGTTTGTAGCAACCACATCCATGGCAGCCGGTGTAAACTGGGTCAACGACCAGTGCACACTAGTAGCGTACATATACATTACGGAGCCACCAGAACCATTGACATGCAGTCCTCGGAGCTCAGCATGATCCTTCACCCAAGTTGCGTCGGCTGTTGTCATGCCACCGAGGCCATACCATGCACACCCCGTGAAATGACATAGTAGCGCAATGACACCAAGGTGCTGCAAAATGCCCATGAACGTAGCAAGGTACACCGAAGTCCACTCAAGTTCATACTCCAAGGAAGAAAAAAGCTCGCGCAACAGAGTGAACCTGTCGGACATCTTCAACAATCGTAGCAGGCGTATGTTCCTCAAGAGGCGTAGCAGCGTAAGAGCCTCCAGCGTATCATCCTCAATAGCAAAAAGTGATACCGCATCTATGACGATCATGCTTAGATCTGCCACGAACCAGTGCGTAATGTAGTTCCAGGCAATGTTCCTGATTCTCATCTCCACGAAGCCTGAAAGCAGCCAACTTCTAGCGTCCTCTATGATAAGACGCAACTATCTGTAATGTGGATTTGGTGAATACTGCGAACCCTGGACACCGCGCCTGTCCGCACGTCGAGGAAGCCACGCAGAAAGGTGACAAAGAGATCCATCGTCCAGATGATGCTGCTCGCAATCCTGGAGCTCCGGGCAGCTGTGAGAAGGGCCAGGGGTGTTTCAACCTACACGACATGACCCTCAGAAAGCAAGATACGAGGTCAGCCAAGGCAGTCGGAAGAGGCAGGGGAACTCTTCCCGACTCCATGCGTTCGGGGTGCCGGGGGCATTGAAGGCCTATAGTTAGAGTCGATGCTGCTGGCCGCGCACATGTACCACAAGCGGCGAGTGCAAGCCGAGCATCTCCAGTCGACGCGGCAGACCGACGCGCTCGATGGGAAACGCGGAGAGCCTCGTTGAGGGTCAGCTAAGACGCGAGGACGGCTAGGAAGGACCCCAGATGATCTTGAGCTATGCCATGCTCTCACAGAGGTCTGCACGTTGTGTTCACGCTTCAATCCTCGACCCAAAACACACGTACGCAGAGCGAAACAGTGGCCCAACGGTGCCGCTACAGTAACTGTAGAGATCTGAGCCACAGCCGTGTCTAAAACCCTGAAGCTTCGGATGAAGTCCTAAGGTCCTAAACGTCCTAAACGCCGACTGCCGACCCCAGGCCGACTCCCCCGAAAGCTTTACCCAGGCATGTTTCAGAATCAGAACCTCATCACTCAAGCAGATCAGTCTGGTGACCTGAACCGACCTCCCCCTGCCGCCTCTGCCTTGCTAAATTTCCGAGCGGGGTATCCTACCAATGAGGACGAGCAACACCGGAATCATCAGTGCATCGTGAACAATCGCTATGATACCTGAGACAGACAAGCACTCACACAGAAGAAGCTGCGCACGATGCAACTTCGCAAAATACAGAGGAAACCTGCCCCGTCAGTGGCGCAGTCCTTCAAGGCATCGGGGTGCCAGGGTGCCAGATAGAGAGGCTCTTCCAACAACAATCTCAGAATGCAATGGCTGTACCCTTATTTACGAAGACTTCGTTTATCTTGGTTAGAGTGAGTGTCTTAGCCTTGGCAAGCATATTGCAAACTCCAGTAACTCTAGGATCCTCATCAAGCGCTCTTCCACCACTGAAATACCGAAACATTCTGGAGCAACGACAGGACCTCACCAAACAACCACACAGCCAAGCACAGCCAGTCGAAATGCACGGCTGTACCTTTGCCCTCCATGGGCCCCATGCTGATGGGCGGTCATGCAGCCTGCAACCTATCGGTACCAAAACGCCTGCTGAACCTCAAAACCATAACCCCCCAACCACAGCTGCCACAGAAGGCACAAACAGCGTCCCACACGAGGCACCGTTTGCATCCAGGCCTTTGGCTCAAATGCATATTGCTCAACGGTTTGGCAGTGCAGCCACATGCAGCCACCATACAAAGGATTCTACAGCCCGGAATTGCAGAGACAGGTATGCCGTCACATGTCCACAAGTCTGCATAGCATGCTCAGTATTAGCAATGCCAATGCAGGTGGTGTGAGAAGCAGATTCAGCCAGCGTTCGCACCCAAGAGCCATCAGTTTGCCAACGAAATACCGGCACACCTCTAAGTTGGATGGCAACGGCATGGCCACATGAAATAGACTAGCATGCCCTCTCTTGCCAAATCCTCGTCATTCGCTAATTGCCTGTGGAAACCTTCAACATGGAGAGTTTGCGACATCTTGCCTCATCACAGCTTTTTGCAAGAGGCGGCCATGCTCCTGCAAGACTGTCAAGATCGAGGATTTGGAGCGATGCAAGAAGCTCAGAGAGGTTTGTATCGTCGGAGAAGTTTCCAAGGTCAGGGAGGCTCATGTTGGCAATCTTGTCTGCTGTTTGTGTCCGTCTGCGTCCGACAGGGCTTTTTCCAACAGAGTTCCAAGAAGAGCATGCAGCCCAAGCACGTACACTTCCGGAGAACGTTTATGAGGGCACGCTGAGCATGTGTGTCTGAACCACGCGCAGCCTCGATTTATTACGGTGGGCTGCTCCTGAACCTCCATTCCCGAACGGAGGGTGGATTTCTGGGTCCTTGGCTTCGGGCAGCTCGTAGAAACACTACACAAAGCACGCTCACACCGGAAGCTCTGCAGATTATTGATTATGTTCTTTGCCGCGCCAAAACACAGAGCATGGAACAAACTCCTGCAAACTCATACAAGCAAGTTCCAAACCAAAAGGCTTGGTGTTCACCGAGCCCTGGCAGTTTACGAAGGGTTGGGGGCAACTTGTATGCGAATTCCCACGCCTTCAAACGAATTCCTCTTGCCTGCATGCCTCTTAACGGAAGCCCAACTCATCTTGCGTGCATCTCTACCGGCGGCACTTCGGTCTTGAAGCCTCAGCAAGAAAAAAAGATCATGAAGAAGCCAAGCTTCCAGCCCCTTAATACAAAACATCGACATAAACCCGCACCAACTTTGCCCAAGCTCAGAAACGTGACTGTTAGACTCCGGGCCAAAAGCAATAAATCCTGAACCCCTAGACCCGCATGTCAGGTCTCAACACACCGGCGAGGCACAGGCGACCCACAAAGTCCTGGCCCATCCCTGTCATGCCGGCGGAACTCTTGGAGACTCCGCTTCCTCGGCACACGAGGAGATGCATTGGATATGCATTTTTCTACATGCTCGAGCGATGTAGGGAGGGTGGGCTGCTGTGGGGGATTGGAGCTCTGGGGTATGAAATCTGTGGCTCTAGGGAACATCTGGACCACTCCATGAATCTAGCTACCCCTAGCTGCCCCATGCCGAAGACAAGGCTCTCAAGAGGAATATCTCAGACATCCCCAAGAAGTTATGGTTTGACTCGGTCCTATCTGTGCCCATGACGCTTGAGTGTGGCTCTGAAGCCTCCGGCAGGATATAAATACATCTGGGTTCCATAAACCCAACTAGCCCTACCAGTACGAAACTGAGTTCAACGGTGTCGCTAAGCAGGCCTTCGCACTCAAATGATCCGCTACGAACAAGCCGAATTGCAACCGGGCGGCGTGAGTGAAGGTCCTCACTATTCCAAATCTGATGGAGAGGACTGGTGCCAAAGCCTGCGTAGACGATCAGTTTCTATGTGTGTGCAAACATGCAGGCATGCCTGCACGAACATGCACACGCCGGGTCCAAGAAAAACGTTCCTGGACACTGCATAGGAAAATCAACCAAATTTAGCTGATTCTTTCCGCGAGTTTTGGGGATTGATTTCTGGCTCGAGTAGGAAGATTGCGTAGCTTGACTCCAGCAATGGTCATTCCATGAGTGTACAGTTCGACGTATGCACCGGGATGCCGTTTCCACTGAACAGTATTGCCGTTTATTGTTGCAGGACGTTTGGACCGTAGGGACGAGACTATCTTGCTTTGATTGACTCGACTGGAAACGCTCTTCCGGTTGTACGACAGGGTACATTGGTATACCTGACACCGATTGTTGCTCCGCATGCCATTGTAGATGTGGCGAGATTGGCAGCGAGTTGTTTGACTGATGTGTTGTCGGGAACGGAATAACAGCTTGATGAATGAGGGTTTGTTGTGCATGTCGGATTTGCATGACAGCTCGTTTGACTATCCTCAGCAGTTTGGTGCCCTGATTGCGCACGTATGACGCGTGGAAAGTGAATGAGCCACAGCTGAAATTGATCCGGCGCGTCCAGACAGAGAAAGGAAATGCTGTATCCGAAATAGTAACATACAGGATGTACGATGGGGGATCAACTGCCATTATCAGGGCTAGGAATTTCTTGACTTTGGCGAGCACCCGGCCCCGTGACCTGCAAGAATGGAAACGGCGAGTGGAATATAAATTGCGCCACAAGCCGCAATTGAGGCATGTGAAGAAGAGTGAGCCTAGACATTGCCTTCTGCAGATTGGCAAGCCTGAGCTTAAAAACAGCGCTCAGCGCGCCAAACTACCTGGGGGCAACAAGGAAGACCTTCCTGATTAAGACTTTTGACAACCATTTATGTCCGAAACCATGAAGCTTTCTGACGCTTCACCAGCTATCTGGGGTCTTCGCCGGTCCAATTTGTATTTGTGTTAACCCAGCCGGGGCCTGGCCCCGAAGCCGGCTTGAGTTACAGCATCATGCTGTGTGAGTGTGCGCGTCATACTATATGCCAGGTCCGCCATATCAGAGACAAAATCAGACGGCTGCTCTCAGATCAACATGATCGCCCAGGAACTGTACGTTGGCCCTTCAGACAGGTCCCCTTTTTCTGCGATGTCGCGGAAGGACACTTCTCGACCTGAGTCCGTGTGCTAAGGCCAAGAAACTCCTAGGCAGCTTGTGTTCATGTTGAGATCAGTGCGCAGTTTTTCCTTGAATGGCATCTGGGGGACCCTGGGCCTGTGCAGTGGTCGCAACATCTGCATGACTCCTCAAGGGTCCAACCTGAAGCATCCAACAGTTGGAGTCCAACACGGCTTCGATGACAAGAGGCTCTGGCATTTGGGCTCGAGGATGCTTTGCTTGGGTGCATCCTTGATCTTCAAATCTCGAAAGATTAGGTCCGAAGTCCAGGACTCAACCGTTCATTTCCTCAAAACAAACCCCTAAAGTTGAAGCGCCTGTCGCCAAGTGGCCTTCCTCCGATTCGAAGGAGCTGTAGTCATCCAAGGCCGCCGGGCTAGCTACCTGGGTCTCCCTCGCACTGTCAAACACACTACCAAGCCCAACACGCACAAGCCACAAGCACATAAAACACATCCAGACCCCGGAAAAGGAGAAAGGGGAGAGTAAACACCCTGCGGCGGAGCTGCCCGGCTGTCGGACAACTCTGCGGCTGGCCAGTCGAGCTCGCTATCCTGAAGCAAACTCCATCACTTGACCTGTAGAAATTCTGAAAGCCCTGGTTTGTAAGCATTCACAAATCCCTGTAGCCTTACCATACCTTACTCTGCATTCTTTGGCACTACTAGCGTTGTGCTGCTATGTGGCCGAACCGGCAAGTCACCCTCTGAAGAAAGTTCGTGTTGGGTCAAGACCTGCTGTTGCTGTTATTTCCAGGGCCCAAACTCGTCCTCACCTCCAGCACAGACTTCGATACCCTGCTGAGGTGAAGAAAACCGAGACGACAACTGAAGGACTGCCATCGCGTCCTCCGGGCTCACTTTCCAGATCTCAGCCTCCCACTCCTCTTCGGCCTTCGAAGCACAGGCTGGTCTTGGCTCTGCGCCCTTCCGAACGTCGGCAAGTCCCAGCATGCTTCTGAGCTTCTGCTCTTGCGAGGAGTCCACGAGGCCTTTGAGGGGGCCCCTGCATGCGATGACGTTGCGATGAATCCTGGCTTCCAAATGCCTGAGCCCTCAAACACTCCGCAAAAGGGGGGGGAGAGACCTAGTGGAGCTCGGCAACATACAAGGCTCTAAAGCCCGAAGCCCCAACTTTGCCTCAGGCTTCTTGTCGTCCTGCAGCTGGTCGGTGGCGAAAGACCTCAAACTTTCAGAGATACTCCAGGATGAATGCATGGCTTTGCCTGTGGGGACAAGCACGATTGCACTCAGTCGGTTTTGGCAGTGGGGATTTCCGAGCGCCCCACTCCAAGTCTTTGCACACTTCGTTCAACTGCTCGGCCAACAGGACCTGCCCAATGTGATACATGAGTCTGGTGTGCTCTTCTCATGTTGCAGGCCCTAGGCCCCCCCTCCAAGTCAATGTGGCGGGCCGCCATGTTTTAATGTGCAATGCGAGTTTCTGCCGGCTCCCTGCCTGGATGCTCTTAAATACGTCGTTCTTCATTTCTTCCAGTCTTCTGGAAACATATTCCCCAAGCCGAACGGCGGGCAACACCATGGCTTTGCCAGCGGCTTGGGTGGTCATTGTCGGTTGTCTGCGGCACTCTCGGCCCCAGACAAACGAGTGGCGGTAAAACTACGGTCCCATGCTCGTCTCACGGCTGGCACTATAAAGTTAACACAGCTGCAGATGACCACCCAGGCATGGCGTCGGAGCGCGGCCTTGAGCCACAGGCGCAGCCAGTTCACGTGCTGGGTACTTGCCAACAGGCTAAGCTTTATGGGGATGGCAACAGAGGCGTCACGTTCAGGTTCGGGCAGGATGGGAAGCTAAACTTGCAGGGGGATGTCAAGGGTAGGGTGATTGCAACTTCGTCGGGGAAGGCAAAACAGTGCTTGCACAATCATTAACAGCAGAACATTGTGTGTGCTCAATCAGTGGAGCAGGTTCCAAAGAAACCGCAATCTTTTAAGCTTCGCGACCTGTACAAAGATCCGACCCAGTATACCCTCTGTACACGTGCAGGGATATCTACAAGTCGGGATATCCTCATCCTTAATCTCAGGACTCACACGCCAGGTTGCCCGTGGCACCCAATGCCCCTCTATCACAGAGAGGCGACCAGGTCTTCTAGGTCCTGCATAGGAGAAACCCTAAACCCTAAAGTCTCAAGCTTCAATACGTCCCCTCGAACGGCCTACACTTTAGCAACCATTCGCAACCCTAGCCGAAAGCCCTTCCATTATCCATCCAAACAAGTTTTCCACCATCTCTCAAAACTCCAAAGTCTTGGAGCTTGTAAGCGTGGAATCGGAAACCCTGGTCCCTGATCATGAACTGGTAGCGCTTGGAGAGCCCCCGCTTGAGCTTCCCGAGCCGCTGCATCTCCCGACACAGAAGGGCCCTCCCATGCTCTGTAGCCTGAGACGACAGTATGTGGGAATTTGCCAACAGAAGAAAGACAGATGATGCGAGTATCATGGAATTGGGGGGAGTGAAGGCAACCGAAATGTCTCGAGTTCAACGGGTATATTCCCATCCTTGGGCCGGATCCCGTCTAGGGCATTCTGGCCTGCAGGGTCGCCGCCGCCTCAGTGAGGAGAATGCACACGGCTTCAACTCGATACTCCTCCTTGAGCACCGGTGGCCTCACCATCACTTGAAGCCTGAGGATTGAGGGCACGAGTATGGGTTTGCAGCATTTGAAGCTTGTGATGGCATCTATGACTGTGAAACAACCTGTTTAATTACTGCACCAGAAGTAGCTTAAGCACCGAAAGATGCCAAGGGACTCTACCTCCCCCAGGTCCTTCATCTCCTCATGTGGCTGAGGCTCCCCACCAGCCATCAGGAAGAAGAAAGTCGAAGGCCCCATGCCCAGGTCCCTCGCCAGCCGGTCCTTGAATTCTGCTACCGTCTCGCTGACGCGAGGTTGTGAAGCGGTCACGCGTCCGCTCAGCAGCAGACACTGTGGCAAGCCAGGGGTGCGGGGCTCAGCTTCAGGATAGGCTGCTGCATCAAGCTTTAACAGGGCATTGTCTTGGGATATGCCTTGTAAAATGAAGTCGAACTTCACGAATGGACAAAGACCTTTGTTGAAAAGCTGTCCGACACTTCGAGCAACAGCGTTGGCACTCTCTCTGACTCTGACCGCCTGGTCCTCCTTGGCTTTATCCTCGCAATCCTCATATCGCTGAGAGAACTGTGTTCCCATGTCTCGGAGGACCGCGTCCACCACGAAGGAGCTCAAGCTCGGCGGCCCCTCCGAAGCACTGGACGGGCTCGGGCCGTCTAGCGCCAGGAGGATGTCGGCCAAAGCGACGGCCGTGGAGGAGCGCTTGAGGCCCGACCAGAGGCTGTGAGCGACAAGACAGTCGGCAACGTTCTTGACGAGATCTAAGTCTCCACTTGCCAGGTTCAAAGCTACGTCGCCTTCAGCCGCAGGTTTCCGAGCTGCCTCTGCAAAGCGCTCCAGGTTTCCATGCGAAACCTTATTCATGAACAGAGTTACCCGAGACTGCACGTCGGGAGCGAATGCTGCCACAACGGTTAGCTCCATGGCAGCGAATGGAGCGCACAGCAACCCAGACCCAAACACACAAAAACTCAGGGCACAAACGGCCTTGGGCGTGGGGGCAAAACAAGAATGCAGCCTCACAAGGCATCTCACAGCTGGGCTCGATGCACAGTCAGGGACTTTCCTGCGGCTGCTCGACGCTCGGGCGTGCGGATCCACCTCAGTGTGGTTTCGACAAAGAGCCGGGAGTCAGCCGGCCAAGCTTGGCAGGGTGAACAACACACAGGGAAATTGCTCACAGCGGCTCCCACATACGAGGAGCAAAGGGTTGGGTGCATGCGGTAGAGAAGTTGGTTCGTGGTCCCAGATTGGAGCAGTTTTGTCCTTCAAGGTGGCTCTTGGATGCTGCTGGCGGCCGAACTGATGGCCAAGCATGTCAAGATGCTGAGAACCGCCGCTACTTGACAGATTGATTGAGGACCTCTAGGAAATGCTCGGGTGTAGCCAGGTGCTTAAAATGACGACTCACCTCGTCTGAACAGCTTGAACGTGATGTGACACCGCCGTAGATTTGCAATCATCAGCACTCCCTCCCGACAGCTTCAAAAGCCTAATTCCCGGCGGGTTATTGCCATGCCAAGCGGAACCCACTCACAGCTTTTCCGCACAAGTGCAACTTAAGTACACAACTACGTCCAATTTCTTGGAGTTGTGGCCGCAATATGCAAAAGATGGAATGCAATGGACCCCAGCTTAATTTACCGGCGATAGTCTTCGGGGGCCTTCTTGCTGACAACCCGAACACTGAGTCCTACAATGAATCTCTATTAACCTGGACTTAAGCCCACAATCAAGTCTCTTCAGCTGAAGGGTCGCATTGCATAAATCGAGGGGTCTGCTAAAGAAATCTCGCCGACTCGCACTCGTGGCCAGCCAAAATACCTTGAACCCTTACTCAGCCTTACTCCGAGACCTTATCAAGGAAACCTCGCAAAATGAAACTTATGATCCCGTGAAGGCGGCATCCGTGGGAGAAAATGAATCTTTCTTGCGATGAGGCCTTGATCTTGGTATTTATCCGTCCTCGAGTCAGTAGGCTCAGACGCCACTCAATCAATCGTTCTCGTTTGCGAGTCTCTTTCTATCTGTGTCTGTGTCCATCTGTCTCTTTCTCTCCATCTCTGCATGTCCGGCTGTCGTTGTCTCCTTACGCTCTCCGCCTACAAGTTCCGATATTTCTTGGCAGCTCTCCCGGCTCTTGGTGCTGCAGTCCACCTAAGCCATGCCAACCAAACAACAAACACCACAGCTTGGTACGAACACAAGCTAGAGCGAGACACCGGACAATGCAAAGTTTACACATGTATCTGTGCGTGCATGCATGCATGCATGTATGCCAATGCAAGTCTGAATGTGAATGTCTTTGTCTATGCCTCGTCTTAGTCTATGTATATGTGTATGTGTATGTGTATGTATGTATATCTGTATGTATTCATATCTATACGAGAAAAAGTATACGTATGCGTTTCTGCGAGTCCATATATATGCATGTGTATATATATATATATACACAATATGCATATA